ATTCCAGAAAACAATGAACTAAATATTTTCAGGGTTTATAAAATAAGATTGTGGAGAGGGGAACATTAGCAGGTATTTATTGTGAGAATCTGTAAATGCTGCAGACTAGATGCAAGCAATTTTATAAGAGAAAAGAAGTAGATAAACACCCCAAAGGTAGGCGGCTAATCAACAATAGCAAACACCATTCAAAAGAAAATAATTTATGCAAACAAAGGAAAGTTAAATTACACATCTGTGAAATTTTAGATGTAAAGAATAGTTGCATGGTACTCTAATTTTATTGTGAAATTAAAATTAAGTTTGCCCTCTCATTTTATATATTCTGCTGTACGGATATGAGTGTGTGACCCTGGGTTTCACACTTTTGTGATCATCAGATCATATATATATATATATATATATATATATATATATATATATATATATATATACACTTATGGTGTAATGGTTAGTAGGCTTACCTTGCTAGATAAATTACAACTGAGTGTATATATATATATATGTGTGTGTGTGTGTGTGTGTGTGTGGCAAAATGTCACAATTATTGAACTCCAAGTTAGGCTTAAACTCTCTACTCAGTTGTAATTGGTCTAACAAGATATGCCTACTAATCATTACACCATATATATATATATATATATATATACACACACTGAAAAGTTCTCAGATTCTAATCAAGGAACCATGAAAAAAAAATTTTTTTTTTTTTTTTTTTTAAATCATTTCACTCAAAGCAAAGGAAATAAAGCCACTAACATAAAAGGGGTTACTGAGTGTAAGAGAATATGAGAAAAAAAACCTAAGGGAGAGAACAATGAAAGAACAAAAATTAAGACAGAAGATAACAATTGACATGCATTTAAATCTTTGAAGATCAAAGTTGATTGGAAAGTAAGAGAGTTCCACAAGCAGTAAGTCCAATAGAAGAATCTGTTAGCATAAAATTTAGTTATATTGAGCCATTTCAACTGTAAAATGATGAGATCTTGTCATCAATCTTGCATTGCACTTAAATGCATAGTCTAAGTATCATGAAAGTATATTGGTAATATGCTGAAAATTAGGTCCACAGACATAAAACAAAAAAAAATTATCTTAATGAAACATGAAAATCTATCAAATATATTCTAATAGTAATGATTGACTTTTTTCTCTATTTTAAAACCATGTTTTATTCCAATGATAAATTAACTTTGAAAACTTTGTACAGAGTGCAGCTGAAATACTTCCCATATAATGGTAAGAAATTAGTAGCAAAGTGGTCTTCAGCAAGCTAATATCTTTGTGGAATTTATTACTGTCAGACCCTCTATATACAGGGTTGGACAAATTCTGCTATAATAAATTTCAATAGCTAATATTTATTTATTTTTTTTTTTTTAATAATAAGTGATCCTGCAAGATTATAAGAATTACCCAGAAAACCGGTTTCCTTCATAAACATTTAAGAGTAACATTATCACAGAACGAAAAAGAAATGAGAGCCTTTTACGATTTTTCTTTCTATATATATATATATATATATATATATATATATAATTATTTATTTAAAAATGTGATTCCATCACTACATAAGAGTTCTCATGTTTCAAAACAAGAGCTGAAAACTTCAATATAATTATTTGAATTAAATTGAATTAAAGTACCAAGCTCCGTTCCATCTTCAAGCGAAATTTTTTTTGGAAAAACTAATTCTTGAAATTTACGCATTTTATAAGCATATTCATTATTAAAATTACTATGGTAATGGCTAGAGCAACTATTTAAAAAAAGGCGTAAGGGTTAATAATTTGTGTGTATATATATATATATATATATATATATATATATATATATATATATATATATATATATATATACCACCATTCTTTATTAGTAGAATACCACTTAAGTGGCCATCTATCAAAAGAGATAATCAACTCATCAATTCGAAACTTGTTTTTTTGTTTTTTTTATAGCCAGTGATGTAATAAAAGGATCAATTTCCATTTATTAGATACATACTAAATTATTAAGTAGTCACAGCTGGGTGGATTACCACATCAGTTATAAAGGATGTTGGGGCATATTGCCTTTTATTAGAAAAAAGTAAGGAATAAAAATAAGTAAAATATCTCACTTCTGGCAAAACTTGGTTACCTTGTCTCAATGAAATGCACTCCTAAGCATTTAACCAGATTTCAAGACTTGTACAAATTTGGTGTTTTTAAATCAAGCTTAATTTCTAACCAATTCTCCTCATTTACAGTGTCCACAGGAACCATTCCAAAAACATGATTATATCATTAAACTGTCCAGGCATTGAGAAGTGAAATTCATTATCACACATTCTTCAAAAGAAATCCGACTGCCAGCAATGATAATCTCTTGTCCCGGCAAGATTAGGCTGCCAGTACAAAAGAAATATCACTATGAGCAAAATAAAGTTTTAAAGTTCAATTAACATTGACACCATAATCCTATCTTGGCCAATCACTCTGATCAATTCTTAGCTATTGGAACTCTCATCATTTTGACACAGATTATACAGATTTTTTTTTTTTTTTATTGTAAATTTTCATTTTACCATATTAGCTCCTATGACTTAACGTACTGTTAATAAATGTCACCAACATGGCACTAAAGATGGGGACACTAAACTGATAGCCACCAGTTTAGTGGCATCATCTATTTCCACTTTTTCTTTTAAAGTTTACCTAATACAATGTCACTCAAGAGAGAGGGTGACTGAGAGAGATTGCTGTAAAGGAGGGAAGAGAAAAATGAAGTAAGAACAAATAAAAGCATATGCAGGATAGATATCAGTTAAACCTGGCCTTGAAGAGGTTAAGATTGTAGTGGTCAAGGAAGCATCCTCTCAGGAAGATGATGTCTGAGTAGAACTTACTCCTTACCATAAGGAACAGAATGAGAATGATATGCCAATATGGCATGGCAGATCCTAGCTGTGAAGATCTGAACTAAGACTAAGGAATGTAACTAGTTTGAATATATATATATATATATATATATATATATATATATATGTGTGTATGTGTGTGTGTGCACGCACGTGTACATGTCTGTATTGTAACTATTTACATTGTTCAAACTATTGTCCTCATCTTTATTGCCATATTCATATTTCAAACATTTTACATACCAACTTTCTTAACCTGAATAATAATAATAATAATGAGGAGGAAAACAGTCTGATTAGTGTAAATATATATTTTTATAATGATATTCACCCTGTACAAGGCCCAAGGGACACTCAAGGTAGAGAGTTACAGTAAGAGTACAATGACCAAATATCGCCATCAACTGTGGGCCAATGGCACTTCATAGATTTATGTCAAATCTATAAAATACACACGAGACAAAGCAAGTGTTTAAAGGCACCAGGTGGGATTCTATAAAGTGTATTTTTTGTTTTGTTTAATGCATTAGGATAATATATTAATATTTAATACTGTATGTTTATTCAATTGAAGTCTGTGCATTATAAAACTGCACTTGATTACTTATGTCTTATAATGCACAGACTTCAATTGAATAAACATGCAGTATTAAATAAGTTTCTAGCTTCTACTCCAACCCCCATTTCTCAATTGGAGAGGAGCAACTAAGTTTTTACTTTCTTACTCTTTAATCTTCTTCCCCTGCCCCAAAGCACCACTTCTTAATATGCTAGGAAAGGGCTCCTCAAAAGTGTTAAACTCAGTGCAAAAAATATCAAGCCCCTGAATTATTCTTTATACTTGAATGTCCTTTTGGTGACTCATACAAACCTGCAGATCAAACAGAGGGCATCTTTTAAACCAATACACCAAGAGAAAATAAACAAAAATGTTTTAATAAATAAATAATGCCCTAATTGAGTAATAAGATCGTCCAGTGTTTCCATGCACCAGCATGTTTTCATTTGATCTTAAGTAATGTTTTAAAAAATGCAAGAACCAATATAGCAACTCTTCTTTGCTCAGCTACACATCTACGTTTCTCACATTAAGTGAACGTCAGGAAGGGCAACAAAGTAAATGTTAGCAGAATTAATATCCAAAGACTGTCAAAGCGACAAGGAATTTTTAGAACATCCACATCAATGTTTGATACCCATGACAGGAAAATAAACAAAAAGTTCAGAAGTGCTTCAGTCAACAAATGTAGTCAGTCTTGTATATTTTAACAGCTTACAAACAGAAACTGCAATAATTCAAAAGAAAGGGATAATAACAGCTGTTACAAAACTTAATATTTGATTGCCATATTTATTTTTTTTGGTGGCGAGGGATTAATGAATAAAGATTAATTTCCAAGTTTGTACAAAGAGTAGATTCATACAGAAGAAACTCTCAGTGAAAGATCATCACGCCTTTGTACTCTTGTAAAATCCATCACAGAAAGAATGGAAATATGAAAGAAAAAATAGTAACATTATGGCAAATTTCAATAATTCATAAAACAAATCTTCTGATAATGTTTGAAGCATATATTCTCTAAGTTCTTTAAACTCAAAGACATAATTGTAAAGAATTAACCTGTCATTATACGAGTAATACTGAATAATATGAGTTCTTAATCCAGCCACAAAAAGACAACAGATTAAGAGACAATGAAAAGGGATTAAGTTTTAACATGAAACCAAAAATAATTGTAAAGTTGACAATTAACATAGGGCTTTAAAAGTTAACTCCAAACCAGCTAAAGATGATGATGATGGCGAACAAAAAACAACAGCAACAGCATTGATTAAATATTTTACAACATTTGGGACAGTCCCAAAGTGGTTTGAAATGTGCTTAATTTTTCTTCAACAGACAGTCAAAGTCGAGAGGAGTATTTATTATTCATCAAGACATCACAACAAATGCTAAAAGCCATTGCATTATTTATATATGCACAAGTTGATTCAACTTTGTACAAAAGGAAAAAAATAAAAAATATCTAACAGGTAACAAAATAGTAATGGACAGATAATGGCGACATAATCAACAAAATAAAATGCAAATATAAAATTAAAGGGGAAAAAGATATGTTAAGTAAAATGAGAGAATAACAAGAAAAAGAGTGGGTGGGAGGGAGTGAGGATAAAATGAAGAGAGCAAGAGGGTGAAGAGAATAGGAGAGCAAGATAAAAAAATATGTATAGGGTGGAGGAGAGCAAAATGAAAGATAAAATAAAGAAGAGAGATGAAATAGTGAAAAAAAAGACTAAGCATGAAGGAGGGAATTGAAAAAAAAAAAACTGAAAAGAAGAAAAATGTGTAAAATAACGGAAAGAAAAAAGTGAATGTTGAAAAAAAAAACTCATGTTAAAAGGTTTTCAAACAACAGCTGATAAAACCCAATATAAATTATGAATGTAGGGAAGGCAATCAAATTTTTAAATAAACATTAATGAAAAAAAATATCATTAAAATAAAAACAAAATTAAACACCAGAAAAAAAAAAAAAAAAAAGCCAGTTTAAAAACCTAACATTTAAGATGAAAAAAATAAATGCGAAAAGATAAAATTCTATTTGATGATAAAATCAGAAGGAAAAAAAAAAATGAATGAATGAACATAACATTAAATGCTTAAAAATCTTGTCAGATATTGATCCAGACATATAAACTGCTTTTTAATTTTTACCTGTAAGAAATACAAATTTCTTGTTGAAATTTATTTAGAGTAGAAGTGCGAATGTTTGGACAATTGAAAAAAAAAAAAAAAAAAAAAAAGTTATTTTTAATACCCCAATGTAATACTGAAGGCTCACTTGCCTAGCAAATTCAGCTTTGGAAGCCTCATAACAAATATCTTTTATAGACATTCTTTATTGAATTACAAAGAAAAATGTGAAGATTTCTTTGTGACATAAAAATTATGCAAGGTTTTAAGTGAAAAGAGCAAATATTTCTACAAAATTTATTAACCATTAACAAAATCATTCAGCTCAATTTGAACAATATCTGATTATAAAAAGTGGTGACCAAAATAAAACATAGGTGTGACATGTTATGGTAAGGAAAAAAAAAATAAAAAAATAAAAAAATAAAAAAAGGACATAACTTCAGGTTAGGAAGGTCATATTTTAATTTATTTAACAACTCAATGAAATAAGATATGATATCTTCAGTAGCATTTACTTTATTAAAATAACATTCAATTATAATAAATCAAATATGATTTAAAATTTTCAGATAAAACCACATCCCCATGTTTGGGAGAGCAGAGGCTTCTTGAATGAGCCAACCAAGAACTTTTTAGTATCCCGCAGTCTATTCAAGAGGTTAAAATATTAATCATTTTAAAATGAAAATACACTCATTTTTCTTTATCTCACCCACAACATTATGTTTTGACTATTTCCAACCCTAACAAAATAGATCTTGTCATTTTTATTCTATGTCTTCTAACAACTATATATATATATATATATATATATATATATATATAGAGAGACTGTGTGTGTGTGTGTGTGTGTGTGTGTGTGTGTGCGCATGTAACACAAGGACACCCCCCCACCCTTAATTTAATAGTAATAGGGTTAGTTTTTTCAATATTCTATCAGGAAACAAAATATATATTTTTTTAATAAAGTCTGTTTCATGCTTTAAAGAACAATGAATGAATGAATGACTTAACTGTATATTTTTACAGAGTCAGGAGAAAGCTTTTTATAAGCCAACAAAGTAGGAAAAGAGAGGAAAAATACAAAAAGGTACGAGTACAAGTGGTTTACCAATTAGATTTTTAAATAACAGTATATTTTAGAAAATGAATTAAATCCAACAGACTTTTAATTTATTTGTTCAAGCATTATTTTTTTTTTTAAATCGTATACTCATATTTGAGTAGATATTCTGTTTTTACTTATTAAAAGGTATATTTATTTATTTACATCTACTTCGAAAAATCTTCTTAGTAAAATGTGTGTCTTCTGACAGGATTCAAAACTGCATTTCCTAGGGAAAACTGTCATTAGATCTGAGGAGGTCCTGCATGGCTGAGTTAGTCTAAGACACTTTAGATCTAATGATGGTTTCCCCTTTGACAGGTTCAAATCCTGCCAGAGGATGCCTACTTTTCTAACAAGATTTCTCAAAATATTCAAAGCTGGTAGATGTAAAATAAATATACAGTTTAATAATAAAAACAGGGCATCTATTCAAATATGAGTACTCATTTAAAAAAAAAAAAAAAAAAAAAAAAAAATTAAAAAAAAATTAAAAATAAGATGTAAAGAATGTGCAAAAAGACATTACAAATACTTTTCCTGCTAGGCACTGTTTAGTAAAATAGAAAGACGTGTGTGTGTGTGTCCTCCACAAATTGTATGCACAGTTAATTTCAGTTAGATTTAAAACCTGAAAGCTAAGCTCTTTCCTACAAACCAAAGAATTCTGTGTTTATGTTTGAAGTTAGTTAAATGCTGAAATAGAAAAATAAAAAAACAAGACAGCAATCAAGGGTCAACCAAAATGTAAACTTCCCTGACAATGGCTTCAGTTAAGAATTTTCACTATAAAGAATAGACAAAAATCATTTAACAAATCTCTTTTAATCTGTAATATTTTTCATTAAAATAATTCATTATTTCAAAAGTAAAAAAAGTTAATAAATCAGAAAATTATATAATCTCATTTAATGAAACCTTCAAAAATAAATGCACAGTGCTTCACGATTTGGAATTTGGACCAGATTTTGTTACGGCAACTAGATAAACTAAAATAAAAATTAGAATTAAAGTTAAAAAAACAAAAGCTTGTGCATATCTCTGTTCATCACCTGAAAAATAGTGACTATGACATGAATTTGTGACAAGGAGCTAACATTATGGAGTGGGTATCCAGGTATATTCCATAGATTTCCATAGTTGTGTTAGGTGTGGCTGCAGAGGATTTAGTTAAGTCTAAAACATGTCCCTTACATCAAAAGGGGAGGGGTAAATCTGACAAGTGTTTTACCAATAGAGTATTTAATGGTCCAATCAAATGTTAATATAAGCAGTTTCCTATCCCCTGTGTATGATGGTGGCAGGGATGACTTACAAATTATCAACACCAAAGAAAATGGCAAAAGCATAAAGGGGTGTAAATGGTCTGCAACAAGATCTGTCAAGACAGACTTCAATTTTGCAAGCACTATTAGAGAACTCCAGCAGAACTGATCCCACATTAACAGCTTACAACAGCTTGTGCTAAGTCCTACAAACAGGCTGGATCTATAACTTTGGTCTCTGCCATACATGAACTGTACCACCTTTGTCCAAAATATCAAGAAAGGGTGATTTGCTTGAATAGATGACATAACATAACATCAGTCTTCCAGTTCAATGGAGATATTTTCTGGCCATGGTGAAATTATGTTAAATCCTGTCTGTGTTTCATGGATTTCATGGCCACATAACCTATTCCATAGTATGGTTCATTCCTTTCTACATTGGGTGGGGGTGGGGGGGACATCCAGTTTATTGGCAGGTTATTTTGAGGGTACTTCAGTTTATCTATACAAAGCCAGAGTTATAGTTAAAGTAATAACTTTATATACAATGAGAGAGAGAGAGAGCAAGAAAGGAAAGCAATCATTTTAACACCAGCAATGAAAGAGGGAGAAAAAAATGGACCGTGAACATCTTCATTAAATGCGTCCAGTTTTACCAGTGTCTCACAACAATATGTATACCAATTTTTTTTTTTGAGACATTTAAATTTTTAAAAAGTCATTAATAACTAAAGTACAACTGATAATATCTTGAGAAATCACATTTGTTACCAATCAGAATAAAAAAAAAAAAATTTTAAATACATTGTTACAGAATAAATAAAAAAGAAAAGTTATTTCGAGAAATCAAATGAAAAGGTCAAATATTAAAAAAAATGAATTTGCAAGTTTCAAAAGTTTAAACACAAAAATAGGTTTCATTTTATTTTCAATAAACAAATAAAACTACTTGTAATACACACAAATATGACTAAAATTAGTTCTTGAAAGGTTTTCGAACTAGATGTTTAATTAAACATGAAAATTCAACTTGGCATTTGCTAAATTTTAAGAAACAATATTTTGTGGGCTGTTTAAACACCTGCAATACTAAGAGAGATTTAATAAAGTTTTAAATAAACTAAATTGTATATCAACAATTAGACTTTATGGAACAACATTAAACAGAGCATCTAAACTTGCCATGTAAACTGGTTATGAAAACAGTGAATAAAAAGCAATAATCAAAGATCTATTTCATCATTAACATTGATACAGCCATAATTCTGTAGATGAACGAAAACATAAAAAAACATTTTATAAAATTCTTTTTTCAACATTATCGCCTTCTTTGTCAATGTACTTAATGCTGATTAATTATAGATCGAACATTATTCAGTGAAAATTTCTGATCAAAATATAGCTGATCATAATAAGTTATAGACTTATTGACCCATCCTTATCTAAAACTTACCGGTATCATAATTTCTACTCTCACCCCTAACCTTATTCACTCTCTCAAAACTACCTTTGCAAACAACCCCACACCACCCCAGAGCCATCCATGTTTTGGAAGTACAGAGCAGTTAAAATATTTTAAGGAAAGAATTTTCTCAACATAAAAATATTGCAACAGGTTTCTCTCAATTAATCTTTTTGAACACTGAATCCATTTGGGAAATAAAACCCATGCAAGAGAAAGAGCCAAATAGAGGGTGGGGGGGTAAGATGGGGAGGTGGGTCGAGAGAGTAAGATGGGGAGGAGAGAGGAAGCGAGAGATCCAAAGACAGATCCAAATAAAGAGAGAGAGATCCAAATAAAGAGAGAGAGATCCAAATAAAGAGAGAGAGAGAGATCCAAATAAAGAGAGAGAGATCCAAATAAAGAGAGAGAGATCCAAATAAAGAGAGAGAGATCCAAATAAATAGAGAGAGAGAGATCCAAATAAATAGAGAGAGAGAGATCCAAATAAATAGAGAGAGAGAGATCCAAATAAATAAAGGATGAAAGAAAGCCAGCCAAATAAATAAATGCTAGGGCAATGAGGTGAGAGAGAGAGAGAGAGAGAGAGAGAGAGACAGCCAAATAAATGAAAACTGACAAAGAAAGAAATAGAATCCCAAACTTTTGACAAAGTTGGAAATACATTTGCCATAGCCTCTACCAGTCAATATATTCCCATCGCATTCTGTGAACAGGGAAACCAAATACATAAGAATTAAAGCAGAGAAGAACACAAAATAGAAGAGGATAAATATTATTTGAAAAAAAAAAAAAAAAAAGATTATTTTCAGTAAAATTATTCAAAATATTTTCAAGTTTTCCATAAGTATACATGAGTTTATAAATAGATAAGCCACATTTTAAATCTTTAGTAATTTTTTTTTCTTTTTAATAACAATATCCAAGTTTCCCCCCCCCATATTCAAAATCTCAGAAAAAGAAAATAAGGTTTATTATTTCCTGGTGGAGTTATTTCAAGAAATGTGCGAAACGTCTAACAAAACACAAGAAATGTAGGCTAGCTCTACACATATTGAAAGCTCTCATATTGGTTTTTTTATCCCTAGCATCTCGCACAATCTACTTTACATAAATTTCCCAAATGCACAACATGCCTTGGTAGTTAAAACTATAAATAAAGCCACACAATTAAGCTTTGGGAGGTGTGTGTGTGTAAGAAAAGAGAGCAATCACCAAAGAGAAAATTAAAAACAAAAATATTTAAAATCAATTTCTAACTATCAAATCATAAACTGTAAATCCAGGTACTTATGGTCAATTAGTGATGGCAACAGGAAAAGTTTTTATTTAATCAGCAGGAAATCTGAGACAATGAAGTAGTCTCAGAGTAACATGAAAAAGAATTATCCAGGAAATACAAAAAGAATCAAAACCTCTTGTTTTCTTCAAATTGGACCAAATATGAAGCAAAAACTGCACAGGAGGTTGAAAAAAAAAAAAAAAAAAATGTCAAATAACTTGAATCTGGACATATATATTATGAATACTGGCCAGAAAAAATTATGTATAATGGTGAGTCTTATTTTGGGTCCACCACATCATCTCTTCTGTCTTTTGTACAGATGTACTTGTAGATGTGTATAGACAAGTACTACTTGTATCAAAGTAGCTTCCAGGCCAATGAAATTTCTTTTCATCATCATATTCAATTTCAACATGTGAAGTAAGGTAACAGTCCAAGAAATTAAGAAAAAGTATGGTTTTAAAAGAATAAAGTTATCCATCTTTTATTGATGAGTAAAATATCTGGAGTTCAATGAAAAAAAAGAATAAAAAAAATTAAGTCTAATGAAATGCTCAACAGAAGACAGAGCAAAAAAAAAAAAAAAAAAAAATATATATATATATATATATATATATATATATATTACAAGTGAACATCGAAATTTTGATATACTAGCTCAGGTTTAGGCCTAAATTTGCCACATAAATTAACCTCTCTCCGCACAAATAATAGTAAAGTAACATCACTCCCAAAAGACTCATCAAGTTCAGACTGGCCAAATAATAGACTGACAGACTCCATTAACAGAGATTCCTTTAGCCTTAAAGTATTGACTTTATATCCTTATGTATCGAGGGTTTTTACATGAAGATGTTGCAGTAAATCTATACACAAAGATTCAATTAAAATGCCCAGGGTTAGAACAGAGCCCCTTATGTTGTTACCAAATGCATTATTGACATTTGTGGATCATGACTGACAATAGATAGAGCAGCAAAAGAAGCTCAATTAATTCTAGGTTAGAGGACGACCCATTATATGTACCAATAATATTTATCAAATGCCTTTCCAGAGTATATCACTACACAAGGAACAACAGAATTTGAACTCATTTCAACAGTCCTACTTACAGAACCAGTAAAGCACCTTATGTGTATGTGGATATATAGTTATTTTCTTCTAAATTTTGCTTAGTGCAGCACAAGGTCATATAGAATAAAAGGAGGAAAAGAATAGGAAGACTGTGTTATCCCAATCTTTGATTCAAAGAAAAACAGACATAATAAAAGACAATTCCTAACAAGTGATAAAAAAAAAGGTAACAAAATAAATAAATTATGATTATATATATATATATATATATATATATATATACCCCCATGTGTAACAGCAAAATTGTCCATTTGTTAGATTAAGCTTTGAAGCATTGTATCTTAGAAATGATTAAAGAAATCTTACTGGAATTCTCCAATGTTTCAAGGTTTTTATAACACTACTGGACTGTATTTTGAGCAATAAGAATGTATAATTACTTTCTAAGTTTAACAGAAGTATTATGATGAAATTGATCATAAACAAAAATGACATGTTTATCATTCATTAATCAAAGCTAAGGATCTGAAGCTCACGGAGTATTGAAAGTGTTTTTATATATATATATATATATATATATATATAAATAAAATAAATAAAGATAAAAGACAATAGGAAAACTGAATTATTAACCAACGCATTTTGTCCAATATGGACTTTTTCAAGGCAAAAACGAAATCATTTTCCAACTTATTCAAGATGATCTTCGGCCTCTCTAACCTTGTAACTTTTTGTCCTGGATTAACAAGGTGCCTCAAAGATTCTACGTACGATTTCTTTTTCAAGTCTTTTTTCACTGCTCTTTGGACTGTCATAGCTGAATCTCCTCTACTATGTGACAAATATCATATGGATTGAGTTTGATCTTTACTAATTGATTTCTTTAACTCTAAGTTGAAATGATGATCCCTATTCCTGTTTTGTCTACTGTTCCCTCTTTTCAAACTTATTCACCGTTCTCTTGATGGTTCTTGAATGGACTTAAAGATAGAAGCCAGACTATGAACATATTGTCAACTGAAAATTGAAAGTTCTTGACAATTTTCAGTTGACAATATGAATACAATAGCATTTTCTAAATTATTCTAGTTGCTAAGGACATTTTGTTTGTTGTTAATAGTTACTTTGTTTTCAATAAATTCATTTCATTTTTGCCTTGAAAAAGTTCACATTGGACAAAACACGTCGGCTAATAATACTATTTTCCTATTGTCTTTTACTTTTATACATATATATATGGGACAACAAGAGATAATAAAATACACACAGGGAGAATGCTATCTAAAAGTGAACAAGATTAAAAATAAACTTGGGTCAGGAATTAAAAATAGGAAAAAAAAATGTCTTTCCTGAAACAAAGAAATTAAAACTCATTCCAGAAAGCAAAAGATAAAATGTCATTAGTTTGTTTAAAATTCTATGTCCGATTTGATCCTAAATAAACCAAAATCTGCTATTGCAGAATGGTCATGAAAGAACATCGAATAAAGAAAATGGCAGCAGCTTAATATCTCATTCCAAATGGCTTAGCCATATTAAAACATTTCCATAAATCATTCCATTCTAAGAATACCTTACAGAGTGGGAAAAAAAACCAAAAAAAAAAACAAATATTCAACAAGTTTAGATTAGAGATTAAATTCAAAACATTTCAAATGAAGCTGACTTAGGAAAGCTTTCATCCGAATGCTCTCCTAAGCTGAAGTGGCATGAAACAAAGTAGCAATTACCATTAATTTAGAGGCAAGCAGAGAATTGAGTGTTCCCAAACTCAAAAAATAAATAACTATCCCATTTTTACTATAACTGGCAATACTGTAATTATGGCAGAAAAGTATAATTTTAATTCTGAACCAGCACATGAAGAATGAGGGCAGGTCTGCAGGAGGTTTTCTGTATCTGCAAAAGTCTGAAAAATGTATGCAACAAAACAGTCAAGCCTAATGTCACCTTTGAAGCCTTCCACCTGAGATAACACAATTTAACCATTGACACAGAGACGCTTTATTTTTGTGGTCCTAGGAACACTTAAAGAAATTTTCCCATTGCTTTAGTAGGGGGACATTTTTTTTTCTTAAAAGTATAGTAGAAAGTGATTGTTTAAAAAGCAGAAGTAGAGGAGCTATATTTGACAAATTGAGTAAAGGAAGATACCAAACAGGTAATGAAGTTAAATTGATTTTCATTTTTTTTTTTTTTCTTTTTTTTTTAAAAATAGCAAAAGCGTTCAGAGTAACAAGGAGATACTAAATTCAAGTGCAAAAAAATAAATAAATAAAAAGGTTCTGGTGTTTAGTCATTGAAATGCTGATTTTGAGAAATGGGTTAGGCCAAGAACTTTTCAGCATCTAATTGTATAGGAAAATACCCATATTTCAAGTCAAAAACCCTTTCACTTTAATCAGTCCATAATAGTAAAAATACAGATACAGCCGTTTTTTACCCCACCACATCCATAATTTTCTTGGAATATGTAACTTACTAATAAGAACGAGTGTACTCCTCTACAAAATGGTATAACTCAATGGTAAAAGCAACAATCAACTATGAGGTAAAGGTTCCACCCCTTAGCAGGGCCCATGAACAAAAAGGCAAAGCAAGTTTCAAATTTACACTAGATGTGCTATAATTTGAGCTCAGAGTTAACTAATTCAAAATGAAAGGCATCAAAACAGTTCAACAGGTATTTAAAGATTTAGAGAGAGAGAGAAAATTAATACTTTTTTTTCTAAGTATTTTTTAATAAAATGCTGCCAATTTGGGGTTTTTAGAAGATTGATTTAAAATATATATAAAGGCATTCATTCACAATAACATATCTTTATATAAGAGTGTGGATAATTTGGTTTACTTTCCCGTGTGTGTATATATATATATATATATATATTAGTGGACAATGAGGTCAACACCGAGTGGCAACAGTCTGTTGTTGAACCCAATCTTCAGACTTTCATTTATATTTACACATGCCATATCCCCAATAGCAAGTACTTTTACCCACAAATATAGCATACCTTTAAAATATATATTAGTCAAATTGTTAATATTGATAATTTACAGAAGCTTCCTTTTTTCTTTTTAAGTATGTAAATTATTTTTCTGCAAATGTGTTTTACATTGTTGGTTGTGTCATTAAAATCTAATTGAAATGATTCAAAAAATATAATTGTACTTTTGAGTTACAGCTCTCTTATTATAAATTGTAGTTACCAAGAATTTAACTTTTGGTTTGCTAAGCACCTTAGATAAACAAACATGACTGTATGATTGGATTTATACTTGTGTGCATACACACATTTTTTATATATATATAT